CAGTCCTTCTCCAGTCAGAAGGTCTCATGTTGCCCCCAACCTTGCCCATTTTCCAAAGGCTTAAGCCCCCATTTCTTAAGCCCCTATTGGTACATCCTCAACTCGGAGCTCTAGGGCTCAGGGTTCAGGGGCTAGGGGTTGGGATCTAGGGGTTTGGGGGGTGGGGATTTAGGGTTTACAGTGCAGGGGTTAGGGGTTTAGGGTTCAGGATAATCGCCCTGAAAGCCTTAGAGTTTTCGGGGTCCCACACCCTACACCGTTCCAGGGGGCGTCGTAAATAGTAGAGAGTCTGCGAACTATTTCTGGTTTAAGGTGACCAACAGTTTAAAGTTTAAAGGTGTCTGGGGTTCGGTTACTGTATGTGTCCTAGGGCCGCTAGTGTAGGAGTTTCGATGCGTAGATTTAAATTCTGATTTTTTCGAGTATTTGTTGTTTGTCTAAAACTCATATCAACAGAGCCACTTGCTTTAGAGTTGTTCAGAGATCCAACCGTGCTTGCTCCCGTCACTTTCTAGCCGTTTTGGAGTTGGGGCCAAGCATTGCAGCCGACGGATAACTGCGATGTGGCCGGACGACGCTCTTGCCAGCAGCATCGTTCCGAGGCGAAGCAGTGATGCTTTACCCTGACGAAACCAGCATTCGCACATCCGAGATCTAGTTGATCGGCTGCTAAAGGACACTCCGACGACCCTCGCTGCTTTCGCACATCCGAGATCTAGTTATCTAGTTGATCGGCTACACAGCAAAGGACAAGGACACTCTGACGACCCGCTGCCTGAAGACTTGTCTGACAGATCTCAGAGCCGTATTGACACGCTTAGGCGAGGTGCTTGAATACTTCATACTACTAGTACTGAGGGCTGTTGAATATAACTTAAGTACAGAACCCGATACCCCTTCTTCTTCTGCGCTGGGCGTAAAGTCCGAGGGACGTGTCCATTGCTAAACGAATTCCAGGGTGAAACAGCTGACATTCGGGCTCGAGGAAGCCGCCTGTAAGGAAAGCCAATCGGAAAAGGGCGACAACACAGAGGCTGGCACTGGAATCCGAACAAGCACAGGGGCTCCGGCCCGGGCGCGCTGAAGAAGCAGCTCAACGGAAGCCAAGACCTGATCCAACCAGACACGGTTGGCACGCAGGGATCGAAGCTGACACGGAGCAGGCTCGGAAGCGCGAGAGAAAGGAAAGGGAGGGTCCGGCACATGGCAACAGACAGCCGCTGCTCCAGACAGCAGGCGAGACTGACCCAAAGGCCAGGTCAACACGGCAGGGGGTAGAGAAACCAGGCCCCAGGAGTCGACCCAACGCGGACACAAATGCCCAATCCAGGCAACATGCGCGGTTGCAACCGGCAAGGTAGCAGGTAACGGGTACACTGCGGGTGAAAATGCAGGGGAGGACTCGGCACTGCCGGGCGCTGGGCCTGAGATGCGCGAGCACAGGTGCTCAGCGTGCAAAATCAGCAACACATCGCGTCCAGCGGCCTGTAAAGCACCGTCGGGCAAGGAATCAACCCATTGCTGCAAGGTAAGACGCAAGACCGGCAACGGGGCAATATGATTCTTAACAATACCAAAGAGGGTCTCATCATCAGCAGAGGTGACCTTGGCGAGAGCAATCGCCAAAGGATGGTAAATCACAGGTTGCGCGCAGGGAAGTACAGAGCGCGCTTCCCCACCGGTAGCGGGAAACTGTTCATGACCAACCGAAAGGTCAGGAGGGAACAGCTCAACATCAAAACAGCCCTGAGCCGCCTGGAGACAGACCGCAGAGGTTTTGAAGTGTTTGCGCAGACGGGTAATACTGGCGAGAGTGAGGCCGCAGGCGGGACAACGTCGACCACTAGCGCATAGGTGTGCGGGGCTAAGATAGCCATGCGCACGGTGTGCGTGAGCTCCCCAAGCCTGCTGCGTACGGAACGCCAGTCCACAAACAAGGCAAGCGTGCAGGCAGCCGGCAAGACCAACGACTGAGGGGGAGGGCTCACAAGGCGACCAAAGGCGTCGGGCGGAGGAATCAAACAAAGCCAGCATCTTGTCAACCTCTGAATGCCACGCTTCAGCACGCTTGAGTAACCCCTTCCATTGGCCGGGGCGGTCAAGGATGAGCGAACGCCAAGACCCCCAGTCGGAAGAAGGGTCCCCCAAAGAAGAGGTGCCGGACACAGCCTGCAAAAGCCACCGACAAGCAGACTCTAAAGATCGCTGAAACGGCGTGTACCAGCTGAGAACAGCCCAAGAAGCGTCGGGTCCATTCCGAACAAGTTGGGCAACAAACCGCAGCCTCGCGGTGGAAAGCAAGGATGTCGGGGAGGGCAGTCCGCATCGAGAGAGAATTTGGTTGGTCGTGACCTCGTAGCCACCTTCAGCCTTCAAGCAAAGCAACTGCCGATATAGGCCGATTACCCCTCCTGAAAAGGCGCTCCATTCAGAAGCGGAGAGCCAAGGCCAGGTACCTGCTCCCGCAAGGACAGCGGAAAGCACATACGCACGAAACAGGAAGGCACGCCGCTCCATCGGGATTCGTCGCGAGGCAAACAACCGCTGGCGACCTTCCTTGAAGGAGGCTCGGCCCAAGGCAAGACGGTATTTGACTTCAGGCAGGAGACTACCGTCAAAGGAGAGATGGGATCCCAGATGCTTGTATTGAGTGACAAGGTCAATCCGGACAGCACCCGAGTTCTCAAGGAAAACCGGCAGCTTGGCACGAAGATCCCCGAACAGAACACGACGAACTTTGCGCGAACCCCGGCCCTGAACCGCAACAATCGCAGCAGTTTTCTTCGGCCCATAGTTAGGGCGAAGACCATGTGGGCCAAGCACATCCAAAGTGGCTGCCGCGACCCCGCACAAAGCAGAACGGAGGCCATCAGCCGTGTCACTGACAACCAGGCTGGCTAAATCATCAGCATAGACGACATCACCAACAGTCTGAGGCACACCAGGCACCGGGACAACATCGGCTGCAGGCGAGAAGGGGGCCCGATGGCCGTCCCAAGGGATGGTCGGTATCGCATGGCGAAACCCTGAAAAATCCCGACGCTGCAAAACCTTGCTGAACAAGACATTGAAGACGATATCAGCTAATGCACCACCTGGTCTCGTACCTCTGTGAGTGTTCACTACTTTGTCATCCTGAGAGAGGATGAACCACGTGGAAGAATGCATTTCGCGAGTAAGCTCAGACAAGAGAGCACCCGCGTCCTGCGACTGCAACACAGGCTCGCAGGACACATAGTGTCGCAGCAACTGCAAGTCCTCCGAAGTAAGAGATAACGAGGAGGCAATTTCGGAAAGAGGGCGGTCGCCCAAGCCAGATCCCATGACAGTTTCCCGGATGACCCCATAATAGGCACTCATCAGATCAAGGAACATGACAGCACAGGAAAGCCCCTGCACATGGCAGTAGTGAAGGAATCCCCTTGACAGGAAATGTCCCATGTCCGCGCTGCAACCCTTTCGTCCACCTAATTGGCAGCTGTGCGCACGCGGCAACCAGTGGCCGACAGCGAGGGGTCGAGCAGTGCGATGGATAGCCTTGGCAATCCCACTCTGCACCAAGATACCCCTATACCCTGCGCAGGTGTGTTGAGCTGCAACATTAGGCTTAGGAATGCAGAACAAAGTGCCTCCTTTCAAACCTACGGGTTCAGCAGCCAAGAAGATAACTTTTAACATCAAAGGCCATAGCAGATCTGCTAAGCTGTGACTAAAACAACGTAGCAACGTGGGAGGCAGCAAGTCAGGGCCAGCCGCCTTGCCTGGTGCCGAGGCTCGCAAGGCCTGTTCAAAGTGGCGGAAGGATGGGGCGTCCCTGAAATCGAGCAAGTCGGTGCCAACGAAAGCAGCATGCCTGGCGCGGCAGCCTCGCACCAAGTCCCCGACAGGAACTACCTCACCGTCCTCTAAGTCGGCGAAATGCGACCTCCAGGTAGACAGGGATTCCTCGAAGGACTCACAAACACTCCCATCCGCTTTGGTAAGGAGGGGCAGGGGATCCGCTCCTGGCTTCCGATAGCGCTTCGGTTTGAGAACCCGTCGGACCTGAACATGAAGGTCCTGCGGATTGACAGTAGCAACGTCGGATGCAAGGGAAGCAAAGTGAGCGGCACGATCGGCTCAGCACTGCGTGCGAAGTTTGACGCCGAACCTACGCAGCAGCATGCACCAAAGACCATAATGAGTCTGTAGACGCCACAGCCATGCACCGGAGAACAGCTCAGAAAAGTCCAATTCCCGATGGTGCCAGGCCAAAAACACACACCTCAAGGCGGTAGCCCGTAAGGCAACCTTAGCCGCGCGGACCCGATGACGTAAGCCCGAGACCGTTTGATGTAAGGAGCCAGAAAGAGCTGACAGATAGGAGCCTCGCAAGCGTCTCTTGGACGTTGGGAACTGGTGCGCAAGCGCCGTGTACAGATGATCAACAACAAGCGCAGCGTGCTCACTCGCATCCACATCCCACGAGGGGTGAGGAGCCTCCCTGATGATGGCCTCAATACAGGGCGCGTTTTCGGGGTCGGCCAAGGCATTGGCAGAAATGCGCGTAGGCTTGGCTTTTCGCGAGCTGGTGCGAAGTGCGAGCCTCGCAGACACCACAGCTGCAAAATGGTCGATGCACATATGACCAGCGGAAATTTCAGGATCCACCCACGCCTGAAGGGTCCCAGCTGACCAAGCAAGGGGAACACCGACATAGTCCGAACGCGCGAAAGTAGCATTCCGTTTTTGATAAAGAGTGTGGCCGTCCCCAAGGGCGCAACCGGAAAACGTCGCAGGGATCCACGAGGCCAAATAGGACAAAAGCTGGTGCAGCATTTCGCCGCTGAGATCCTGCACATCGGCCTCCCAGCTGCCCACTGCCGAGCTAGTTTCACTGCCTAGCCTCGCATTGGCATCCATGAGAAGGATCCAAGGTGCAGCTCCGGAGAAAGTACGGCACAATCGTAGGGTGCGCTCCCACCAGTCGCGCCTAACGGCTTCAGTGTGCACGCGATGCGGGGCATGACCGACGAGGAGTCGGATAGACTCGCCCGCAAAAGTAGCACTTGCAATTAGCAGTGTAGGCTCGGCATGAAGTACAACCGCAGACATAGCCTCGATAGGCGAGTGCCGATGGATCCATAACTCCACGCCGAAACAGGCATCGGAGTCACAACCTGAGGCCAACCTGCGAAAAGGTCCGCACGTCATGGAGCCTCGAGGAGTCTTACATTCTTGGAGGCCTGCAACTAGAACTCCTTTGGCCTCCAACACGCGTGAAAGCAGAACAACCCTGCCAGTGGCACCATGCAGGCCATCCGAGGCCGGCTGCACCGAAGGCACATCTCCGAGCAACGATAGGGCATTATAGGAAACAAGGCACAGTTGGACAGTGCGTGCCTCCTGCACAGTGGGACCCTGAACAACATCGCGAAGAAAAGGGGCCATGGCAAACTCAGGGGAGTACGAGCACACACCTGAGCCTTGGGACCATGAATGCACGTCCTCGTGAAGAGCAGGGAACTCAGCCTCACGAGAAAGAGTCATGCAGATGTGAGACAACCATTGTGAGCGAGAGCTCTGTTGATCACACCAATAGGACAAGTCGAGGCAAAACGGTGAGGCGAACCGACCTGTACTAGCAAAGTATGACGCCAAGGCGTCAGCTAGCTCGTTAGCCTCGTCACCTGAGTGCCCAGGCACGTGTTGGTATCTAGGCTGACAGTGATGGCCGACCTGAAGGGCTGCATGGAGATCCCGTGCCAAAAGGCATAACGGGTGCGAAGGAGTGTTAGCAAGGCCCTGTACACCGGCCAGGGCGGAGGTATTGTCAGCTCTGAAAAGCACACTCCCGTGCCAGGGAAGCTGTGCTGCAGCAATACCTGCATAGAGGAGGCCAGCGACCTCAGCAATATACGGGTCCAGCAACAACGTGCCATGTGGGAGGAATGGTGAAAGAGCTGCCATGCTGCCGCCGAAGCAGCCAAGAAATTGCCCGGGCAAGCGCAGCGTGTATGAGGACACAGCCGAGACAGAAACAGCCCACCCGGCAGTCCGGGCTTCCTCAGAAAAGGAACCATCCGAGGTCAACACAAGGATCTCTTCTGGTGCAAGCGAACGGCCGAACGAACCTTGGCATACCCAAGCCTCGAACCTTTCAGGCTTGAAAAGGCCAGCCGGCACAGAGAGAAGGGCAGAGAAGGATGAGCATGCGAAAAGGTCCCTGACAGCGGTGCTTCCACACGGGAGCTGGCACTGACGAGCGTCAAGATCGAAGACCTCGGCCTCGGGTACTGCAACGGCAAGGGGAACTGCGGGCTCGAAGGTCATGCCAGTGCGCTGTTCCTCAACACCTATCGGCAGGAGCTGCTCGAGACTGATCAAAGCAGGAGAGGGACTCAGGGGCCCAGTCACCCCAGGCTGCGAGTCAAAATGTTCAATAAGGGTGTCGAGCAATGTGGCTGCCAGAAAAAAGGCCTCGCCGTCAGGAGCTCGGATGGCTTGTTCAAGAAGAGTACCATCTAGATCAACCTCTAAGGGCCGATCTGCTCCCTCGTCCACACGCGGAATCCCAGACCAACTTCGGCAGGGAGTAGGCAGAGTGCGCACCGCAGTCTCGTGCGCCGGGCAGACAGGAGCAAGGGGGGGGGCACGCACACAGGCAGCCGAGGGGCAGGAGGGTGTGTCAGAGTGGTCCGGGAACCGAAACTGGACCGCGGTAACAGCGTTCAGTCTGGAACATGCTGCGGCGATCCAGACGACCCTCAACAGAAGTGGTGCACGGGGAAAACGTAGAGCACCGAACAGCAAGCAAGCCAAAAAGGAATGCTTCCAGCAAAAAGCAGCAACGACAGAGGTGAGCCACAGGGTGCCCAGTAGAAGGGCGTGGTGAGAAGACTCTGCGGTCCACATGTCGAGAAGGCTGCGCGAGAGCAACTGGCGGCGGCCAGGCAAGCCGGGTTGCAAACCCCATGTAGATCCGTGGGAGGCGGGATCATGTGATGAGTGGGCACTGGGGTACATGTCTCGAGATGCATCGTGAGCGCCTGGAATCGCGGAAGGCTGTAACGAAACCGAATCGGCAGCATCTTCGGCAACAAGTGGGCTGTCACCCGCATTCTGGCTAAGGCCCGGCAAGGGGATGGTCGCGTCGGTATCGGCCGCGGCATAGGTAACCTGAACAACCTGCCCATCCTCAACCCATAGCCAATTCCAATGTGCCAAGCACCCAGAAAAGCGAACATCGAGCTCCGGAGGAGCACCCTTGAGGAGGTCATTACGAAGCCCACGAATATCAAGCCAACCTTCATCAGAGGGCACACGAATCCAACCCTCAAAGATCGGCCGGCAGTCCAGAAGCGCGACAGCAATACGCTGAGCGGGATCACGCCTGAGACTAGCTCCGAAACCAACCACATTGCGAGAGAGACGACCGTATAAAGCCGAATCACGAACCTGTGGCAAAGCAGGCGTAACCCACAATCGGTTCACAGGCAGCTGAAGACGAGAAGCAATGTCGGCGTACAAGAATACAGCCCGCTCCGGAAGCATGAGGAAATCACAGTATTGGCCCTCGCCCACAGCACAAACGCGATCCTCAGGAGCAGCCTGAGGAAAAGCAGGTCCAGCAGCCCATCCTAAGTGGGTTCGCAGCATATCGCCCGAATAGCATAAAGGTTCCAGGACCGAGCCTCGCGGAATGAAGGTGACACAGCAGCCGCTTTGAAGGGCAACATCGTCCCCAGGAACCACCGGAGCATCATGACCACCAACATATATATATCAACCGGAGCGGCTCCGGACAACCCAGCGAGGTTGGCCAACATGTGCCTGTCGACATTCGTCGGCGAGTGAGCTGCGAACAACCTGCCGTCCAAGCAGGTAAGGTCCATGCACACCACGACCTGAGTCTGCAGCCAATCCGGTAAGCATAGCAAGCAAGCCCATCGGACGTCAGGCTGAGGATAGACTGGGCACAGCAGAGGGAACAGATCCTTGCCAGACAGCGCTCGGCAGGTATCGACCACATCCAAGAAATCCTGGATCGACTGAGGCACAATGACTTGGAGGGCCAGATGCTCAGGTAAATACTCTGGAGCGAGTATCACAAGCGACACATCAATCAGCATAAGCTCCTCTGCCTCTGCAACATCTTCCTCCACAGGGACAGGTGGCGCGGGGAGGGAAGGGGAGCCGTCTGGGATGGGCCATGCAAGACCCAGCTGCAGAGTGGCAGTACGCGCAGCTGCTAGAAAACGATCAGCTACCGGACCTTGGGAACCCCCAATATGCAGCAGCCGATGGACCAGAAAGCTGTCGGCCGGCGTCACAACTCCAAAGGTGCTGGGCCTATTCCAAACGGGGCTAGAACCAAAACCTAAGGTGTCGGACATGCAGATGCCGGGAGCTGTTGGCAGCAGACGGAAGGCAGGGGTGAGGGACAGCCTGCCTTCAGCTAAGGCGACTCGAAAATCGACTGTCCTCCACATATCTTCAACATCTCCTGAACAAACTTCGACAGCACTGCAACCGGAGCCATCAACAGCGAGATGGCCAGTAGAGCCGTCACGACCAGCCCGTGATCGGCTGCGATTTCGTGAATGCCTGGGCCTAGTCGTGGGGGGGGGCGGTCCTCTGGGGCGGGCGCCTCCTGACGATCCCGTGCCTCCTGTGCCGCGACCGGGGTCATCAGGAGGATCAAGGTCAGAACGGCCCCCATCACTGATGTCCTCTTCGAAGGAGACAACCAGAACCTGCCCCGAATGAACCTGAAAACCGACTTCAGAACCTCTGGTTTCGGAGGTCGCGCCCTGCACTGATACCACACAGTCAGGTGGGCAAAGGTCCAAGAAAGGGGCAATCACTTGCCTGACCATGACGAATGGCCGAGTTAAGAGCATCCATCGAAACCCTTGGAAAATAGGCCGGCAGTCCAGAACTAAAATCAGCTTGGTTTCCCTTACCCTGGCAGGGGGAAAGGGGGTCGGACAGAGGCACTCCGTGGCTACGATAACTCCCGAGGTAAGGAAACCCTTAGGGAAGGCATCCGCTATATTGGGACGAGCCACTGTCAACGAGAGCCGGTGTGGTGCGGCTCGAAGCTGCTCACAAACATCCTCAAAAAAGTGGCCCCGGCGCCAAGGCCCAACCGTAAAACGTTCCGGTTGGGCATCAGTAAGCAGCCAGAAGTGCTGTCCTGGGTGGTAGTCTGGGCCGGGCGGGCCCAACTCAGTATCCCAACCATGCCGGGACAGAAGCCGTGTGGACAACTCGACAATGGCAGGCGCGCCCGCCCCAGGCGGAGCAAAGGACACCAACATGCCAGTGAACAGTCGAATGACCTGGCCGGGACTCAGAGGCGATAGGAGGCCGTGCACGAATACTCCAACATCACTATCATGTCGAAACCCGGCGGCACATAGCAGGGATTCCCGATTGCAAGAATGGAACAAAGTACAGGCATACATCGCCTGGTTCACCCTGCTGCAATCAAGCAGTACGGTCGGTCTGTCCACAAGCCAGTCCGGGGTGGCGAGCAGAATGACAAACGAACTGCACGGCTGTGGGACCACAGGTGTGAGGCAAGCGAAACACTGTCGTAAAGAAGGCTGCCTCGCAAAAGAAAGTGCACGGACCAGAGAGTCCACAGCGCAGGGAATCTCGACCTTGGCCTGCAAAGCCTCAGGGACCATGTCAGGCACATACACAAAGGCGGGCACCTCAACCTCGAAGCCTGGGTCAACTTCCATGGGCACCTCAAGAGCCTGGCTTTGCTCGGCTAGATCCTCGTAATCTCGCGTTGTACTGTCCACAGGCGCGGCCGAATCAGAACGATCAGCATCCTCCCAAACCTCTGCCAGAAAGGATTGCCACTGATCAGAGGGCCGCGGATCAAGAGGGGCATGAACATCGTCTGCACTGGGAGCTGGAGCATCTTGTGACAGAGAGATATTCCAGCTGTGTCCATCTGGAAGCGTAGCATCTTGCAAGACCCCAGCGGGCCATACACCGGGCGCCCCTGAATGAGAGAGATCCTCATCTGTGCCGGATTCCTCAGAGGAAACAACCTCAGCGAAGAAGACAACCATACAGCTTCCTAGAACCTTCAAAGAATCCCCTGAAATCCTAGCACCTAAAACTCCCACACGGTGCGAGTCAGGCAGAGCTATACCCAGGTCTGCCAGCAGACTGGGAAAGTGAAATCGCGGCAGGTGCGAGTAAACACAGCGAGGTTTAACTCCCAAGGGGCGAAGGTCACAGAGTACGAAGACATCCTGTCTTTCGGGCTCTGTTGGGCCTCCAGTAGGTGCCGCGACATCTTCGAGAGCAACGGCTGTGGGGCAGCAGTCCCCCTGCACGTCGAGATTTCCGATGTGGAAATCACAGGCTGCGAGTCGAGAGGCATCCAAGCGGAGAACGCGAGCCGCATGCTCAAGAAAATCCTGGCCTTGGAAGTGATAAGCCCGAAGGCTGTAGCGCTGTTCTTTATAGAGCACACAAACCCCAAGGTGACGCTCAGGCGAGAAGAAGTGCTGAAGGGGTCCCCAAGCACCACGGTCAGACAACTCCTCAGCACGATGTCGTGACACAGGTGGGTCAGTGTGCCATAGGCCAATAATAGCCTCACCATCGTTAAGGGTAACCAAGGCCTCGCAGGGCCAAACCCTAGACCGGCATCCCACAACAAACCTGAGAGGTTGCTCGGAAAAAGAGGTCAGAGGATGCAAGTATTGCACCAAGGCATCATGCGAGATGTTGCGTGGTAACACCGTCGCGAAGTACGTGCCTCCCACGTGAGTAAGGTCACACATCACAGCGACATACCCATCCTGAATCCGCCTGAGAATAGAAGGGAATCTGATCACAGACAGATATCCTGGAGTCCTCTGGGGCCGAATGGGAACAACCTTATCGAACAACCCTTCAGGAACACCGTCTGCACAATCCGCAATCATCTCAAGAGCAAAATGCAAGTCTGCTGCAGGCGGCATACGGACTACCAATGCGACAGGTGCGTAGTGAGGCGTATAGACATAACAGCCCAAACACTGCCCCAAGGCAGCATCAGAATCTTCCGGAGACCAAGGCAGCGTACCCGCGACGGTACCAGCTGAGGCTCGAGTATGCCTGTCGGGATCTCCCCACGGTATGTCAAAGGTGCAAGAGCCAGTACTGCGCGCTAGCCCCCTGGCAGGCGGGACGGGTACACTTGGAAGTTCCTCAGGCCAACCTTCTCGCGCCATGCCCGAGGCAAAAGAGGGGAGCAAAACCCAACAGGCAGCAGGGAAGGGGCCTCTAGGAACGGCCTGAACCGTAGGCACAAGCGCCAAGGCATACAACCAAAACCAAAGGCAGCAAGCCCACCGAGAAGGGACGGCACTGCAAACGCAACGATGCTGGCGTCGCGGCTTTTCAGGCTTCCAACCAAGGACAGCACGTGTGCGGGCAACACCGGCCAAGGGGAGGCCGAGGGTAAAACACGCTCCTTGTGAAGGCAAACCCAATACGAAGCCCAAGGGCGTCGAAGGGCCGGGCCAAGATCGAAAGAACATCCGCAGAAGGCTCAAGAAAAGCATGCCAAGGAAACCCCGGGCAAAAGGAACAACAAGGGCCCCCAACACAGATAAAGCCCAGAGCAGCATCTGGTCTACCCAGGAGGCCCAAGCCCGACACGGAGCGACACCACAAATCATAGCCGGTTGACACAACCTTGCCCGCAGCCCAGAGCCACCGATCTGCGTGTTTGGCGCAAGGGGAAAAAGTGAGGCCACAACGACCTGAGCAGTATAGGCAGTATGGTCTCTTGCCCGCATCCCAGAGCCACCGATATGCGTGTTAGGCGCAAGAGATTCGCAACAATCCCAATGACAAACCGGATAAAACCAGTCGGCAGAGGGGTCCAATGAAAAAGACCTGCCATCAAGCACAAGGCCGAAGCAAAAGCCGTCGGAAACTCCTGAATGCCAAGCAAGGGAGAAGGCCGGATACCAAGGCCATCGCAGCAAGCACAAAAGAACACGAGTCCCTGCCCCAACGCCACCGATGCAGGTGTTCGGCACGTCGTGTGTAACAAAAGTGCAGCCGCTGAAAAATCCAGTCTGAGGAGCGCAGCCAACAAGGGAGGTAGACGGCAAGAGACAAAACTGCCGCACCGAATCGGACGAAAATCCAAATAGGGATAAGGTCGAGGGGCGAGGAAATGTACAGAAGCCCAAGTGGTCAGCATAAAAAGAGCGCCCTACCTGACTATGTACAAACCAGTGCGCCCCCTCCTCAGAAAACGATCCGAACGAATCGTCACTACTGCAGAAGCTGAAGAAGCTTGCAGGCTCAGCACTAGACAAAGAAGAGCCAACACTGCACCCATGCAGCTGGCACTTCAGAGGCAGGGCCGGTACCGCAGCTTCCCCAGCATCACAACAGTGACGAAGTCGACGATCGTGTAGAGCAGACCATGGGCATGCTACTCCACATCGCGGGCATCCGGAGAATTTGCCAAAGTCTGGAGCTCGTCGTCGTCGTCGTCGTTCACAATACCCGATGGTGGCCCGGGGGTAACAGCGCTGACTGGGGGACCCCCTTCGGCTGTCTCGGCCATCGGAGCTGGG